GTAATAATATACTAAGATCCTATATATTTCATTGGGTCTAAGTTGATGATGTGAGGCCTGCTATATGTTTTGTCGTGGTAGGCTTATCCATTGTCATTATTGGGTCACATTTATTCATTACATTTTTTAATTTATTGATGTAATGATCTCAAGTGAAATAAGAATGTGAATTGTTGTAGATGTAATGTATTATTGATTTGAGTATTTTAAAGCTTTTGCTGTTGATATGTTTAATACTTTTGTTCATTTTTATTTTCATCAAACTATATATGATGAGCAAATACAACGGTCTATTCTACAACTTATTCTGATTGCTATATAGCAATTGAGGAAGTAGCTAACGTTACTTGATTGTACGTTTCTATTATTTTTTATTATAACCACAAAAAAGAATCGGATTTATGGGAAAATAGCCACTCAAAAGATAAGAACATGTTGATATTCGACATTTGCGGAAGTTCACATGTAACAACTTACTCAAGTTCAATCTGAGATCAAGCTAATCTCGATAAGTAAGAAGTTTTATGCAATCGACTATTTGGTTTCTTGGAAAGAGAGTACACAAGAGAAAGCCAAAATTAATTTCATAATCGCGATAACAACTAACGCTAACTTGAGCCGAAAGCTTTATTACGGAAACATAATTTTTTGTTGGAAGACGAAGCTTTATTTACAAATTTGTAACTGAACTAACTCCAAACTATCTTCAAACTCGTTTAAACCGAAATCCAACCTGATTCATTAACCTAGTTTTAAGTCTAAAACACTTAACGCTATTTTTTGAAAGACTCTCTTCCGTCCGAAGTCTTAAAATACTTAAACATAATATTTCTCATTTTAAGTGATCTAAGACCTCACAAAACAAGATATGTGATCCATCTAACTATAATTTGCGTTGGCAAATGATGGAAGTCGAGTATGTGTTGAGTCTGTTGACGTCTTAAGTTTTTTTATAACCGGCTTAACTACCATCACTTGCTAAATAACGTTATTTTAAAATGACTATTTATACCACATAAGGTATATATAATGTGAAAATTAGAAATAAAAGACGTTTTTTTAGTTTGTCCATATATACCTTTATTTAAAAATTTACATTTATGTCTAAACTATTTTTTTACATTTAAAAAATTATTTTTTTCAATTTTTTTTTGTAAAACATGGGAAGAACAAAGGAATAAGATTTTCTATGAAATGGGCAATTGTTGTTTGTTAAACGATAGATTTATAAAATGTGTTCTACTTTATCCAGAAGACACTTTCTGCATTTAT